CCGAGAGCCGCCCCCCCACCCCAGAGAACAATGAATGCCCTTGTCCCACCCAGAACAATGGGGACCTCCCTGCCTGCCCCACCGCCAATGACCCCCTCCCCAAAATAACCCCTGGGGGGCCCGGCGGCGATGCCCAATTTGGGGGCCCCACCCGGGCGCGGCAGGTCCGGGAGGTGCCACCTGTGGGCTGAGCCGTGGAGCGGCCGCAGCCCCGCGGGGATCGGGGTCCCCCGGCCTTGGGGGACACTCGGGAGAGGGATCGCCCCTTCCCCAGAGAGCCCCAAAGCTCCCGGACCCCCCGCTCCGGCCGCAGCCCCGCTGCCCCCCCGGGCCAAGGCAGGGCGCGATCGCGCTCCCCGCAGCAGGAAGTTCGGCTTCCTCCCTATGATGGGAATTTCTCAAGGCGATGGATGTTCCCCGCTCCGACGCGCCAACGGGACCCGCCAGAACCGCCACCGCTCGCCCGGCAGCTCCCGCGGCCGCTCCCCGGCCACGCCGCGGGGTCCCGGGAGCGACCCCCGCCCCAACCCCGGCCTTAACGGGAGCGCCCTGAGGGCGTTAATTGGGACGGGAATTGCTGGAGCCGTGGGGTGGGGACAGGGAACGCTCCGAAAATCCCTTTAGGGGCCGTTGGCGACAGCGGCCGGTCCCGGTGTTGCGGTGCCCACCCCGGTGCCCACCCCGTGCCCGGAGGAGCCGATCCCTCCGGACACAACGCGAGGCCACAGCCGGACCCTTCCTGGGGCTGACTCCGCGCTTTTCTCCTCCCCGAGAGCCGGAACCCCCCCGGACCCCCATTTGCCCCCTCCCCACGGGGGTCCGGGCCAGCGCTGGCCCCGCGGCCCCTCGACGTGCGGCGCTGGCCAAGGCGAAGCCAAAATCTCCTTTTAGAGAGCGAAAGTTTCCCCTCGGTGCAGCTCGGCCGCGCTGGAATGCCTGGGCTTTTTATAAATCCCTGTTCGAGCCCAGGGATGGGCACGAGAAATGCCAGTCGGGGATGAGAAAGGGGAAAAAAAGAGTGGAAAGCAGAGTGGAAAAGAGGGGTAGAGCATTTTTGGGTGCCGTGTCTGCCCGCAAACCTCGCCGCTCGAGCTCCAGAACAGCTCTAACTACACATCTACATTTAATTTCATTTTTCCTGTGGAATTCAGAGCTTCCCAAACTCCTTTTTGTTCTTCAGGGCAATTATTTCTATTTTCCTTTAACCCCCTGCACAGCTCAATAAATCTTTTTTAACTGCGTGATCTCTGACACTTATCGGAGCTTTTTTTTTTTTTTTTTTTTTTTTTTTTTTTTTTTTGCCTCCCCCTCTTTTTCTTTCCCAACCCCTTAAAACTCCGATATAAAACCAAAATGAAATCCGGCCCTTCGGAAGAAAAGCATAAACGTTCCCGACACCTTGGAAATGTGGTTTTACTTTATAGCATTACTTAGCACCTGATCAGCATTTTTTTTTGCAATAGAGAAGCCATAAAACCCCCGAGCAGGTATTTTCGTTGCAACTTGCACATTCCACAGCCTGCCTGCGTCTCTCCGGCCCTTTCCTCTCCGATCGGAAAACTTCACACTTTTCCCTTTTAAAACACATGTTCGGCGCCGCGGCCGCGCTGAGGGGGGAAAATAATTCCAGGGGGAAAAAAAAATATAATATATATACGTATATAATTGGCCCCTCCAGAGGGTCGTGCTTGGAGGAGGAAAGAAAAAACCCAAATCCAGGGGAAAAAAAAATATATATGGAGAGAAAATTGGCCCCTCCAGAGGGTCCTGCTCGGAGGATGGGAAATGTTTTACAGCGCTCGTGTGGGTTTGTGGGGCCGTTCGGATGAGGGTTTGGGAGGAGCGGGGCTCGCAGCGCGGGGTCTGGGATCGGTGCGGCCGCTGCAGCTCCGGGCTCCGCTCCCGGCGGGGTCGGGGCGGGCTGGGCTCGCCCGCGGAGAGCGGCCGTGAATTTCCAGAGGCCCCGGCGGCCTTGGAAGGGTTTGTTTTGGGGGGTGGGATGGAGCAATCGTTACCCGTGGGTGCTCGGGGGAGCCCGGGGTACCCGGCGGCATCTCAGGGGTGTTTGGGGTACTGGGACAGACCCAGGGAGGTTTGGGGTACCCGGCAGCATCTCAGGGGTTTTTGGGGTGCCGGGTACAGATCCAGGGGTGCGCTGGGGTACCCAACACCATCTCAGGGGTGTTTGGGGTACTGGGACAGACCCAGGGAGGTTTGGGGTACCCAGCGGCATCTCAGGGATGTTTGGAGTTCTGGGTACAAACCCAGGGGTGCCCCGGGGTACCCAACACCATCCCAGGGGTGTTTGGGGTACTGGGACAGACTCAGGGATTTTTGGGGTACCCGGCGGCATCTCAGGGGTGTTTGGGGTGCGGGTCCCGACCCAGGGGTGCTCAGGATACCCAACACCATTCCAGGAGTGTTTGGGGTTCCGGGTACAGACCCAGGGATGTTTGGGGTACTTGGCACCACCCAGGGATGTTTGGGGTACCCGACACCACCCCAGAGATTCTCGGAGCACTTTGGGGTTTCTGCCACCAGCCCAAGGACATTTGGGGTACCCCAGGGTGCTTTTCCCCGCCGGATCCTCTCACTCCCACCTCACCCCGGCGGCGATTCCCGATTAAACCTCCYCGGCGTACCGGGGATTTGGGAGCGCTGATTGCGGCCGGGACCCCGCGTTAGGATCTCTCCCATTTCGGGATTTCGGGAGCGGGCGGCGGGCGCTGAAAGCCGAGCGGGGCCGGGAGGGCGGAGGGGCGGGGAGGTCGCGGCACTTTCCGGGAGGTAATTTGGGATATTATCCCGGCGCGTGCGGATGGAGCCGATAAGAGCTGACGGACACGGAACACCCGGAGCGGGGATAAACCGGGGGAGGCTTTCCCGGCGCGGCGAAACCTCGGCAGCGTTGGGGCAAAAAAAAAAAAAAAAAAAAAAATCCCCTCGAATTTTCCTTTTTTGAAATCTTTTTGTGGCGCGGAAAAAAAAAAAAAAAAATCCGAAGCCGCAACCCAGCCCTGCCCCAGCACTGGGAAAAATAAAGATACGAAGCGGATTTTTAAAAGTATTTTAAAAGTTCTAAAATAGATTGAGATATAAAAATAGATGTTGAAAGTGTTTAGGTATAAAATGTGTTTAAATATAAAAGCAGATATGAGGTGTATTTAAATAGATAAAAAATAGACGTGTTTTTACATATAGAATAGATAAAAAAACTACTTAAATTCATATAAAAGGTATCAAATATCTTTGGATGTAAAATGGATMTAAAATGTGTATAAGTAAAGAATAGATATGAAATAAATTTAAATCAATGTAAAATAGAAACCAGTGTATTTAAATTGATCTAAAATAGATATGCAATGGTTCAAATTGATATAAATGGTTTAAATCGGTATAAAATAGGTATGTGATTTAAATGTCTGTAGACTTGTGATGATTTAAATCAATGTAAAATAAATAAACCACGCGCTTAAATTAATATAAAACACATTTAAATTGATAGAGATGTCATGATTTACATCGACGTCAAATAGCTAAACAATGCATTTAAACAACCATAAAACGCGTTTAAATGAATATAGGAGAGACACGAAGGTGCTTAAATCAATGCAAAACCGCCATAAAATATATTTAGACGGATGTAAGAGGCGTCAGCTCAGCAGCGAACCGTCCGTAATGGATTTCCCCCGCTCTGTCTCTCCGGTGCAGACCCCGCCGTGATTTCCCCGCAGGACCCCACGCTGCTGATCGGTTCCTCGCTGGTGGCCACATGCACGGTCAGCCCGGATTTTCCGCTCCGAGCCGAGGATCTGTACTGGACCCTGAACGGGAGGCGCCTCCCGGCCGCGTCCTACACCGCGCTGGGCCCCTCCACGCTCAGCGTGGCCCTCGCCCGCCTCAACGGCTCCAGGCAGCAGTCCGGGGACAACCTGGTGTGTCACAGCCGGGACGGCGGCATCCTGGCCGGCTCCTGCCTCTATGTTGGACGTACGTGGGGGCTGACACGGGCCGGGGGCTGGCGAGTGTGTACTGGGGCTGCCACGGGCCGGGGGCTGGAGAGTCTGTGCGGGACTGGCGAGTCTGTGCGGGGCTGGCGACTGTACGGGGCTGGCGAGTCTATGCGGGGCTGGCGAGTCTGTACCGGGGGCTGGCGAGTCTGTACCGGGGGCTGGCTACTCTGTGCGGGGCTGGCGACTTGTGCGGGGGTCTGGTCACTCTGTACCGGGGGCTGGCGACTCTGTGCTGGGGCTGGCGATTGTACCGGGGGCTGGCTACTCTGTGCTGAGGCTGGCGACTCTGTGCGGGGTCTGGCTATTCTGTACCGGGGGCTGGCTATTCTGTACCGGGGGCTGGCTACTCTGTGCTGGGGCTGGCTACTCTGTACCGGGGGCTGGCGACTGTGTGCGGGGGTCAGGCTGTTCTGTACGGGGGTTTGGCCATTCTGTACCGGGGTCTGGCTGCTCTCTACTGGGGTTTGGCCACTCTGTGCTGGGGTCTGACCATTCTGTACCAGGGTCGGGGTGCTCTGTACCGGGGTCAGGCCACCTGGGACCAGGATTTGGCCACTCTGTACCGGGGTCAGGCTGTTCTGTACTGGGGTCTGGTCACTCTGTACGGGGGTCCGGCTGCTCTGTGCGGGGTTCTGGTCACTCTGTGCTGGGTCTGGTCACTCTGTACCGGGGTCTGGTCACTCTGTGCTGGGGTCTGGCCATTCTGTATCAGGGTCTGGTCACTCTGTACCGGGGTCTGGTCACTCTGTACCGGGGTCTGGTCACTCTGTACCGGGGTTTGGCCACTCTGTCCCAAGGTCCGGCCATTCTGTGCTGGGTCTGGTCACTCTGTACCGGGGTCTGGCTGTTCTTTGCTCTGTGCCGGGATCCAGCCACTCTGTAATGAGCTCCGGCCACTCTGTGCCAGGGTCTGGCCACTCTGCCGGGGTCCAGCCGGTTTTGGGGTGTCCAGCCGATTCTGGGGTGCGCCTCTCCCACGAGAGAGAAACCCAGGATCCCCACAGAGGGATCACTGCCCCGGTTCTCGCCCAGGCATGCCAAGTGCTGCGCTGGTGGAGCCCCGGCCCGCGGAGCTGAGAGGCTGTTTTGGCAAAGCCTCGGTTAAAACGCGCTTGTCCGAATCAATAATCATAAGATTTTATCTCGGGCTATTTTAGGGACGGTGCAACGTCCCCTGAATACGAAATCACGACAGGGAATGCAGCTTTGGATTTGTTGTTTGGGTCGCTACGTCCCGGGAATACAGAGGCTTAGCTGGGAACGCAGCTTGCATTCAGGGTTTTGGGCTGGAAAAAAAAACAACTCTGGAACCTCTTGGGTTTTGTTTTTTTGTCTCTTCCAGTACCGCCAGAAAAACCAGTCAACATCAGCTGCTGGTCCAAAAACATGAAGGACCTGACCTGCAAGTGGGCGCCGGGGACAGAAGGGGAGACGTTCCTGCACACCAACTACACCCTCAAGTACAAGCGCAGGTGGGTGCTCGCTTCACCCCGAMACTGTCAGGAACGGGATTTAACGGGAAACGGAACGGGGAGGTTGATTCTCCCGGTTTGGGGTCGCTGCTGCCAGGATGAGTTTCCTCACGGAGCAGGGGAGGGTGAGGAGGAGCCACAGCAGCCTCAGTTGAGTCGGGAACCGCCGGGTGAAGCCCGGGGCCGGTCCGTGATCCCGGCGRTGTGAAACGGCCAAAAACGAGCCCGGGGAGCATCCCGGGGACGGGAGAACCTCACCCATCACCTGCCCGCAGGTGGTACGGCCAGGACAACACCTGCCACGAGTACCACACTGCCGGCACCTACTCCTGCCACATCCCCGAGGACCTGGCGCTCTTCACGCCCTACGAGATCTGGGTGGAGGCGTCCAACCGCCTGGGAGTGGCCGTGTCCGACGTGGTCATGCTGGACATCCTGGACGTGGGTGAGGCACCCGTGGGTGACCCCGCGGGGAGGGCCGGGGGCAGCAGGAAACGGGCGATCYGCGAGCGGAATGGCTCCTAATCGAGTTAGGAACCGAATTAAGCCCGTGCTGGGCTCGAGTCCGCGGCTCCTTAACCCTCGCGGCGCTGTCCCCGCAGTCACCACGGACCCGCCGTCGGACGTGCACGTCAGCCGGGTGGGCGACCTGGAGGACCAGCTGAGCGTGCGCTGGAGCTCGCCACCGGCCCTGAAGGATTTCCTGTTCCAAGCCAAGTACCAGATCCAATACCGGGTGGAGGACAGCTCCGAGTGGAAGGTGGGATTTGGGCACGGCCGGTGCGGGAGGGGACGCGGGGCGGCCGCGGGCGCTGCCATCTCCCCTCTCCCTGCGCAGGTTGTGGACGACGTGGGCAACCAAACATCGTGCCGCCTGGCCGGCCTGCGCCCCGGCACCGTCTACTTCGTCCAGGTGCGCTGTAACCCCTTCAGCATCTACGGCTCCAAGAAAGCCGGCATTTGGAGCGACTGGAGCAACCCCACGGCCGCCTCCACCCCGCGCAGCGGTGAGTGCGGCAGCAGCGCTCGGGGGCTCCGCCGGTGCCGCGGGAGGTGCGGGGGGCCCTTCCCCGCTCCGTGCCCGGCACCTGGATTTCTTGCGAACGAGCCAATTCCGAGCTTTCCCAGCTGGGAGCCAAAACCCCGCTCGTTTTCCTCCCGGCTCTGGTTATTCGCGGCCCGGCGGCGATTGGGGGGTCGAGGCGCGGTCCCCCCGTGATGCTGAGCCCGCTGTCCCCGCTCTGTCCCCGCTCTGTCCCCGCGCTGACCCCGCTCTGTCCCCGCAGAACGAGTGGCGGGGGGCTGCGACCCCAAAGGCGGGGAGCAGAACACGACGCTGCGGCGGGAGCTGAAGCAGTTCTTCGGCTGGGTGAAGAAACACGCGTACGGCTGCTCCAACCTCGGCATCAAGCTCTACGACCAGTGGCGCGTGTGGCTGCAGAAATCGCACAAAACACGCAACCAGGTAGGTAAGGAGCCTTTCGCACTTCTTCTCCCCGGCTGGGCGGGGCCGGGGGGGGCCGCGGGGTGACCCCCGCACCCCAGGGATGCTGGGGGGTGACAACGACCCCGGGGCGACGCGGGGCTCTGCTCCTGTCCGCAGGTTCTTCCCGGCGATAAGCTGTAGCCCGCGGGGCACCGAGCGCCGGCACGATGGGAGGGGGCGCCCGGCGCCCACCCGGGACCGCCCGCGCCCGCCCCGGCCCCGCCGCGGAGGAGCCGGGAAGCGGCCGGGGCGCAGCGCGGCCCCGCAGCCCTGGGGGACGGGCTGGGCTGAGCTCGGGGGGCCGGGCGGGCCCAGCCCCGGGGGGATCCCGCAGCCTTGCCCGGTCGGGAGGGGACAGCCTCTGGGATGAGAGGGGCGGCGGGGGCTTCCCGGGTGACCCCACCCTCCCGCAGCTCCCCCCGGGAAGCGATTCCGGCCCTTTTCTCCCCGGGGTCCCCACATGCGGGGGCACGGGGGGGGTCCCGTCCCCGGGGAGCCGCGCGGGCTGATTGGAGGCTGCTGGGGTTTGCCCAGTGCCTGCTCCGATTTTGATTCAAACCAGCCTTATTTTGGTTCCATTTCAGTCAATTAGGAACAGATTTAAGCTTAATGCCAATAAACCTCTGAAACCCCAGCGGGGTCTGCGTCAGCGGAGCGGCAGCGCTGCGCGGGGACGGGGATGCAGCGGGCAGCCAAGTGGGGCCCGTGGCCCTTGTCACCCCGTCCTGGGGCTCCCAGGGGACCGAGCCAAGGTGGAGGGGGTGGCACGGGGACGGGGGGGCTCACACAAACCCTGGAGATCACACCAGCTCTGGGGGGACACGTTTATTGGGGATCACCGTAGAAAAAGGGCTGGTGGAGCTSCGGAGCTGCTGCGGGGCTGGGGGCACAGCCGGGCTCCGAGGGGTGGTCTGGGGGGCTCCAGCTGGCAGCACGGACAGTGCCCACCCAGACGGGGACAAACCACGGCGGCCCCTTGGCACCGCAGGTTGTGGGGTTTGCCTTTGGCACGGCCGGGGAGGGGACCCAGCCCCGGGCCAGACCCCTCTGCTGAGGGGATCAGGATTTAGGGGCACCCCGCTTGTCCCAGGAGGGGTTTGTGCASCCCTCGCAGCCCGGAGAGGGCCCGGGAGGACGATGCCCACCCTGCCGAGGTGCCCCGGGAGCGGGCGGGGGGCGAGCGGGGCCCCCGTCCCACCAGCCGGCCCCTGCAGCCGTTCCCACGGGGACACCCATCACTCAACTTCTTCCGAATCGTACTTAAGGTCCTGGAGAATTTCGCTGATTGCCTCAATGGTTTTAATTAGCCTACGAGAGCGGATGGAAACTATAAATAAAGCCCATATGGAGCGTATTATGTGGGCCGCCTCGCCTTCCCCGCGCTGTTTATGAAACACTCAGCCCGGGGAGGCCGAGGGGACGCGGCCACGCAGCGCCGCCAGACCCCAAAGGCACCATCTGGGCCCCCCCGGGCCGCGGGGAGGGAGGGGAGGGAGGGGAAGGGGCTCCAGGGCTGGACTGCACCGTCCCTGGGGGTCCCTGGGGGTCCCTGGGGGTCCCTTCCAACTCGGGACACCCCAGGCGGCTGGGGACGGGGTGCCATCCCAAAGAGGGGGACGAGGGATGGCACTGGGGGATGCTGCCTGTCCCCAAAGAGGGGATGCCATCCCCAAAGAGGAGGTGCCATCCCCAAAGAGGGAGCTCCATCCCAAAAGAGGAGGTGCCATCTCAAAAGAAGGGGTGCCATGCCAAAAGAAGGGGTGCCATCCCAAAAGAGGGGAACAAGGGGATGGCACTGGGGGACGCTGCCTGTCCCCAAAGAGGGGGATGAGGGGATGGCACTGGGGGATGCTGCCTGTCCCCAAAGAGGGGGATGAGGGGATGGCACTGGGGGATGCTGCCTGTCCCCAAAGATGGGGATGAGGGGATGGCACTGGGGGATGCTGCTGTCCCCAAAGATGGGGATGAGGGGATGGCACTGTGGGACACTCCCTGTCCCCAAAAAGCGGGCACAGCAGCAGTGCCAGCACCCACCTGTGCTTGAGCTGCCGCACCTCCTGCTGATGAGCGTCCACCTCGGGCTGCTCCTGCGCCTGCTGCCGGGCCAGCTGCAGCTGCGCCGTCTGTGAGGGGACACCGCGGGGGCTGAGACCCCCCAAACCACCCCAGAGCCACCCCAGGAACCCCCTGGCCCTGCACCCACCAGCTGCAGCTTCTCCTGCTCGCGCTCCTGGAGCCGGGCCAGGTGCTGGGCCAGGTCGGGGCGGCCGAGCGGGTCCCGCAGGCGCCCGGCCATGTCCAGCACCTCCCGGGAGATGCCGCTGAAAGCCACGGTGACCTCGTGCACCAGCTGCCGGTACCGGGGGAAGTCATAGTGCGGGGCACTGCTCAGGTAGGCGCGGTGGCCCCTGCGGACAGGGCGGGGGGACAGGGACAGGTGACAGCCGGAGCTCAGCTCCCCTCGGTGGCCGACACAGCAGCACCGGGAGGCTTTTCCTGCCTTTTCCCCACCTGGTTTGGCAGCACAACCGGGCAGCCTCACCCCTCGCACGGGACAGGGCTGGAAACTGCTTTTTTTTTGGGGGGAAAGTCGGGGGTTTGGGTTTTTTCGTCCTTTACACCCCCAACCCTGCACCCTGGAGCTGYCCCATGGATGCTGGAATAGGATTGGGGTGTCCCCCCGGCAGCTGGAGCGAATCAGCCACCCCGACAGCCCCGACAACCGGGGAATCMCCGCCATGGGGGAGCCGCTGTCCAGCCGGGGGTGCCCGCCCCGCCCGGTGCGTCCCCCCGGGGCCCGGCCCGGTGCCGGTACTCACTCCTCCAGCAGCCGGTAGGTCTCGGCCCGTTCGCCCTGCAGCTCCCGCAGCCGCTGCAGCAGCGCCCGCACGGCCTCGCCCGTCTGCGGGACACAAACGGACGGCGGCGGTGGCACCGGGAGCCGGGAACGGGCACCGGGCACCGCCGGGACCGCCCGGGGTGGGGGGAGGCAACGCGACCGCGCCCGGCTCCGGTTCTGGGGRTCCCGGGGGGGTTCGGGCCGTGGTGCTTGAGCTGAGCCCGGCACCGGGACCGGGATCCCCTCCCGCCTCCTTCTTGGGGCTGCCCGCGCACCGGGACCGGCACCGGAACCAGGACCGGCACCGGCACCGGGACTGGGACCCCCGGCGGTGCTCACACAGCCCAGACGGGCACCGGCAGCGCCCCGTCCATGTCACGGACCGGACCGGCACCGGCACCGGCACCGACACCGGGATCCCCTCCCTCCTCGCTGTTCGAGCTCCGGGACCGGCACCGGCACCGGGACCCCCCGGCCACGCGTGCCCGGCCCCGGGGTGTCCCCGCCCTCCGCCAACGCACCGAGAGCTCCCGGGCCACGTGTCCGGGAACGGGGACAGGGACCCGCCGTGACCCCACGCGCACGGACCCGCCCGGTCCCATTCCCGTTCCCATTCCCGTTCCGCTCCCGTCCCCCGTTCCCGTTCCGCTCCCGGTGCCGCTCACCATGGCCCGGCCCGGCCGCACGGCGCAGGCCCGGGACCCGCGGGGCGGAGCGCGGTTCCGCCGCCACCTGCAGGCACCGAGCGGCAGCGGCAGCGCCCCGGCACCGGTCCCCGATCCCGCTCCCCGCTCCCCAGCCCCGGTCCCGG